AACCAGTCTAGTGAGACCATCATAGAGGGTTGACTCGACTCTGACATTGCCTTGCCAAGCAAACTTCTCCAAAAGAGACTCAGCTTCTATCCACCTCCACCCCCATCTCTTACACTAAGACTGGGCAAGACGCTATAGTAGAGCATCTCCTGCCCATTGAAGTATAGAAAGAAAAGGAGTCAAAATGCATTTTGGGGGGTGAGGGAGGGATTGGAGGAAATAATTAAAGACATTTGCACAGTGCAAATTAAATTATTTGTCTACAATCAGTCACCCTAGTATCCCCCTTCAGTAAAACTAGAAATTCAACGAGAATTGGTACCAAATTCTCAGTTGCTTTATGCTGTGAGGTAGTAACCAATTGTATCCCGCATACAGCTGCCCAAACTAAAATCCTCCAGTTTCTGTGAAAACAGCAGCAGAGAGAAAACGTGTGTCCCTTCAGAGGTTAAGTCAATCATAGACAGCGAAGTGTGCAAAGAAATGATTGTTAGTCCAATACACTTCCCCGTCTGGTATCAACAGCAGCTTTCAAGTGATGCCAAGCCCATGATAATAATAATAATAATAATCCTTGCATTTGATATAGCGCTTTTCACGTCGGGAGGACGTCCCAAAGCGCTTCACAGAACACACTGTAAAGTGAATTGACCGTATATTTGTGGGCGAACGCGGCAGGCCAAGTGATGTCAAGTCAACCGTGAGGTTGCTTTGCTGAAGGCGCTTGTGCAAGAATGCAATGCAATAGCCCTGACAACGCTTCCCCTCTGGTACCGGTCGGTGTGGCGTTGGGGAGGAGAGAACCGCTCCAATTCCTAGCAGCTCCCAAGATACGCCGTGGACAGCTCCAAGGTAGATGTTGATAAGAGTGTGATTTCACCCCAAAAGAGCCTCTGGCAACAGTGTCCTTGCACGAGTAGCAACAGCGTGAGTGTTGGGAGTGCATGCAGTGTTTTTTTTATATATATATATATATCTGTGCAATGCCTCAGCCATGTTAGAGGAGCTAATCCAGGCAGTGGTTGAGGTATGTTGTCTGCATGTGGACAGCCTGAGTGTCCCACACATCTCTGCGTGTTGTTGTTGAACTGGAGGATCCGCGGCACATGTCTCCAGCAGAGCGCGCCACACGCAGTGGGATCTCGCCTTGTGTCGAGCCCTCGGCCAGGACCAGCTGATCACACACATATTTGTGGTTTAATGAACTATTTCGGCTAATTCTTCCTGGTGGGGGGGTGGGTGGGAGTGGGGAGTGGGTGGGGGGTGGGAGTGGGTGGGGGGGTGGGGGTGGGAGTGGGGAGTGGGTGGGGGGGTGGGTGGGAGTGGGGAGTGGGTGGGGGGTGGGAGTGGGGAGTGGGTGGGGGGTGGGTGGGAGTGGGGAGTGGGTGGGGGTGGGAGTGGGGAGTGGGTGGGTGGGGGGAGAGGGTGGAAGTAGCTAAGATCTCATTATGCGAGGGCTTTTGATGCACTCCGAAAAAAAAAATACTTAACAAAAACCATGTCCTGCTGAAGAGCTCTTGGACCTGTCTTAAAATATCTTATCTTTATATACTATCCATCTGTATATATATTTATATGCCTAAGTGTAACAGCAAGCACCCAGCACGTATCGATCAGAAGGGTGCATTAATGCTCTGATAGACCATAATCTACTGTTTATTGATCAACACATTCTTTTATAAACTGTCTTAGCTCTGGGCGTCTCGTACGTGATGCTGCAATAAATGGAGCTTCTTTTTTTTCCCGACACTAAATAGCCTTTCTCCATCCCAACTCCAACACCCCCCCCCCACACACACCCCTTTAGCTCCCCCCCAAAAAAGAACCAGCGCGATTAAAAGCCGCACAATTCGCTCTTTCTCCTGCAAAATTGAGGAAGGTACCCAGAGAGAGAGAGAGAGAGGGGGGAGAGAGGGGGGGGGGAGAGAGAGGGGGGAAGAGAGAGGGGGGGGGAGAGAGAGGGGGGGGGTGAGAGAGGGGGGGGGGGAAGAGGGGAGAGGGGGGGAAGAGAGAGAGAGAGGGGGGAGAGAGAGGGAGAGAGAGAGAGGGAGAGAGAGAGGGGAGGGAGAGAGAGAGAGAGAGGGGGGAAGAGAGAGAGGGAGAGAGAGAGAGAGAGAGGGGAAGAGAGAGAGAGAGAGTGAAGGGGGGAGAGAGAGAGAATGAGGGGGGGAGAAAGAGAGAGAGAGGGAGAGAGAGAGGGGGGGTGGGGGGAATGGAGAGAGAGAGAGAGGTGTGGGGGGGGGGGGGGGGAGAGAGAGCTTGTGCTTCCTTCAGAGTCAGTCAATGCTCACACCCAGGGAAAGGAACACTACTTACACATTGTGCTTTATTTTGCAATTACGTGTGGTTGGCTTTAAGTGCAGCACCGACACCCTCTGAAGGGAGTCAGATCTCTGCCCTTGTTGGCATTTAACCCCCCCCCCCCCCCCCCACACAAAAAAAAAGCCATCTGGCGCCAGGCTCCTCCAGAGCCCCTTCATCCCTTCCCTTCCCCTTCCCATCCTTCGTAAGTGAACATCCATAGATGATCCACTGGTATTTTACGGACACCGCCAGAGGACTTGATGCATATTTGCGCCGCTTTATCGCACAGCCAACTCCTTGGTACCCCGACATAGTTTGGAAGCGAACATTTTAATAAGAGATCGTTATTATTTGCAAGTTGCTTTTTTTTTATTTGCAAGTTGCACTCGTCGTTTTTTGTCTCTGTGTGTGTGTGTGTGTGTGCAACGGCGTCAGTTCTTTTGCCTTTCGGTGATTATATTGATGCAAAAAAGCCCCTTGGTTTTCTGGTGCGTGTTGTGTGTTATTTTGTGTGTGTGTGTGTGTGTGTGTGTGTGCATTGCTTTCTTCGATTTGGATTTTCTGTCTTGATTTTAAACTACTTCCTTCCGCGTCGCTGTCTCCCGATCTCTCCCAGTGCCAACGTGTGACACCAACTGTGTGGGTGGGTGGGTGGGTGGTGGGGTGGGAGTGGGGGCAGGGTTGCAACCTCACCCCCTCCCCAAAATGAGGAGCAACTGGTTTTCGCTGCCGGATTCGCCTCTCGATTGCTTATTTAAAGCAGCTCTTTGCAGATCTCTGCGCTGGAACAACACCGACTGCCCTGCGAATACCGACCGACCGACTGAATCAGTCGTTATCGCTGAGACCCTCCGTTTCCGACGCCCCCCCCCCCCCCCCCCCCCACACGCGTGACATTTCACCGAGGCAGATAGATGCACTAACGCTGCACACACACACACACGCACACACACACACGCGAAAAAAAAATATGGACCAGTGAATGAAGGAGGACCACACCCGAGGTGGTGCGAATTTGCGGAGAGGGACCTCTTAACGTTTAGCCAAATCGCCTACACGTTAAAAAAAAAAAGATTTGGCGTTGCAGAAAAGTGCTCGGATCGCGATGCAGAGCGATGGTTTCGCAGCCGTTCTCACTAATTCGCATTGATGCAGAATATTACCCATCCGGACAGGCGCTGAAATATATGGCTTTGAGAGAGAAGTATTAAAAGCAGTGCCCCCCCCCCACCCCCACCACCACTCAAAAAAAAAACCGCACACACTTAACACCACAGAAACTAAGTAGATCTGTAACTGCTTTTATTATATATATATATATATATATGTAGTACCATTTTACGAGGGGACGTGAACTCTCGAGAAAGACTCACCCTTCATCAAAATGGGGAGGGAGGTGGGGGAAAACTGGGGGGGGGGGGTGGGGGATGGGGGGGGGTGTGGGGGTGTGGGGGTGTGTGGGGAGGAGGGGGGTGTTGGGGATGTGGTGGTGGGGGTGAAACAGGCGCACGGACCATCCACGATGGATACATGTGGCAACAGAAGAGGGATAAAGTACACGGTGGGCAAAGATTTCCACGCGTAAGTGCGCTGTGATCTGATGAGCACAGGTACCTGTGCGAGTGTGTGTGTGTGTGTGTGTGCGAGTGTGTGAGTGTGTGTGTGCGCGAGTGTGTGTGAGTGTCCATGAACCCTCCGGGCGGTCAGCACCGACTGCCGGAGCCCATTCGTGTGGCTGAGAGTGAACGGAGAGAGAGAACGGAGAGAGAGAGAGAGCCGCCGCCTCTCAGCCCGGCGTCAGATTGGTTGGGATGAGCCTGACACACGGCAGCTGGGTTCCCGGTGGCGGCCAATGCGGGGAGAGGGGCTGAGGGTGTGTGGGAGGGGGGGTAGGGGGGGGGGGGTGGAGATGGGGGGGGGGGGGGGGGGTTTGCCGAGAGGAGCCATTGGTCGGCAGGAAGAGGGCGCTACGCAAAAGCAGCAAAACCCGAGCGGTGAGAGCTCCAATCCGTCAGTGCAGCGCAGGGAACCGGGAGCGACTGGTGCAAACCGGGCAAACCGGGCAAGAAGCGGCGGAAAATAAAGAGGGATTAAAAAAAAAAGAGGGTGGGGGGAGAGTGAGAGGGAAGCGAAAAAAAAAAAATATATCGACCGAGGATCGGAGTTGAGTGCAACCGAAGGCGATCCAACGTCGAACGAGCTCTCCAACACCCGATGCCCCGCGATTGCACCGAGGATATGACCATCGGCTGTGCGGTTGGGTTTGATGCGAGACCCCCCCCCCAGTCCCGGGGAATTTGCGCGTCCCGACACCCGCGGCGGGAGGAGGAGGAGGAGGAGGTCGTGGTGGTGGTGGTGCTGGAGGAGGAGGAGGAGGAGGAGAAGAAGAGCGTCAGATCAAAGGATCTTTCCGCTGCCCATTAAAAGCAAATAAAAGTTCGTCTCGGAAAGGTTGTGCGAGGTTCGCCTTTCCTGCGCCCCTGCGATTGCGGGACTGGTGTCCATGGAAAACGCAAAGGTAGAGAGGGCTCGAAGTTAGCACAGAGCGCGCACCCGCCACCCCGCCACCCCGCACGGCAAAACACGCACAAAACGCGCACACACACACACAAAAAAAAACTTATATTATCGTCTTTATTTTTTTTTCCCCCCCTCTCCCCCCCCCCCCCCCCAAAAAAAAAAAGAGCAAAAAGGGGGGCAGCAAAAGGCGCACATCGGCTTTGGCTTTGGAAATGATTGCGTTATTTGTTCTGGTTTGCGTCTCGGTCGATCGCGTTGCCTGTCAGATCCGCTATTCGGTGCCCGAGGAGCAGGAGCATGGCACGTTCGTGGGGAATATCGCCGAGGATTTGGGATTAGACGTGACTAAACTTTCCGCCCGGAGGTTCCAGACGGTGCCGAGCTCCAGGACTCCCTACTTGGAGGTGAACCTGGAGAACGGGGTCCTGTTCGTCAACGAGCAGATCGACCGGGAGCGCATCTGCAAGCAGAACCCCATCTGCCTGCTGCATCTGGAAGTTTTCTTGGAAAACCCGCTGGAACTTTTCCGGGTCGAGATCGAAGTGGTGGATATTAACGACAACCCGCCGGGCTTCCCGGAGGCGGACATCACGGTGGAGATCTCCGAGAGCGCCTCTCCGGGGACGCGTCTGCCGCTGGAGAGCGCCTTCGACCCGGACGTGGGCAGCAATTCGCTGCGCACGTACGAGATCACCCCCAACAGTTACTTTTTCCTCGACGTGCAGACCCCGGGAGACGGCAACAAGTTCGCCGAGCTGGTGCTGGAGAAAGCCCTGGACCGGGAGCAGCAGGCGGTGCACCGGTACGTGCTGACGGCGGTGGACGGGGGGGCGCCCCAGAGGACCGGCACCGCTCTGCTGACCATCAAAGTGCTGGACTCCAACGACAACGTGCCGGTGTTCGAGCAGTCCATCTACACGGTCAGCCTGCCCGAGAACAGCCCGGCCGGGACCCTGGTCCTCCAGCTCAACGCCACCGACCGCGACGAGGGCAAGAACGGGGAGATCCTCTACTCGTTCAGCAACCACGTCTCGCCCCGGGTCAAGGAGCTGTTCAGCATCGAGCCCCGGACGGGCCGGATCGAGGTGAGCGGGGACATCGACTACGAGGAGAGCAGCCTGTACCAGATCTATGTGCAAGCCAAGGACCTGGGGCCCAACGCCGTGCCGGCTCACTGCAAGGTGCTGGTCAAGGTGCTGGACGCCAACGACAACGCGCCCGAGATCAGCTTCAGCACCGTGTCCGACTCGGTGAACGAGAGCTCGTCCACCGGCACCGTGGTGGCCCTGCTCAGCGTGGCCGACCGCGACTCGGGCGAGAACGGCCAACTGCGCTGCGAGATCGTGGGCCGAGTGCCCTTCCAGCTCAAGTCGTCCTTCAAGAACTACTACACGGTGGTGACCGACGGGCCGCTGGACCGGGAGAGCGCCGACTCCTACACCATCACCATCGCGGCCAAGGACCGGGGCTCCCCGGCCCTGGCCTCCAGCAAGTCCATCACCGTGCAGGTGGCCGACGAGAACGACAACTCGCCCCGTTTCTCCCGGGCGTCGTACGACGTGTACGTGACCGAGAACAACGTGCCCGGGGCGTACATCTACGCCGTGAGCGCGGCGGACCCGGACGTGGGCCAGAACGCCTACATCTCCTACTCCATCTTGGAGTGCGACATCCAGGGCATGTCGGTCTTCACCTACGTGTCCATCAACTCGGAGAACGGCTACCTCTACGCCCTGCGCTCCTTCGACTACGAGCAGCTCAAGGAGTTCGGCTTCACGGTCCAGGCCCGGGACGCGGGCAGCCCGCCCCGGGCCGCCAACGCCAGCGTCAACATCGTGGTGGTGGACCAGAACGACAACGCGCCCTCCATCGTGTCGCCCGCGCTCAGGAACGGCAGCGCCAAGGAACTGGTGCCCCGCGCGGCCGAGCCGGGCTACCTGCTCACCCGCCTGGTGGCGGTGGACGCCGACGACGGGGACAACGCCAGGCTGACCTACTACATCGCCAAGGGCAACGAGCTGGGGCTCTTCCGCATGGACTGGCGGACCGGGGAGCTCAAGACCGTGCGGAGGCTGCCCGCCCGCAAGAAGGACGCCGGCGCCGCCCCTTACGAGCTCCTGATCGAGGTGAGGGACCACGGGCAGCCTCCGCTCTCGGCCACCACCACCGTCCTGGTGGTGGCCGTGGACAGCCCGGTGGACCGCCCGGGGGGGGAGAGGCGCAACCGAGCCGGGAGCCCGAAGGAAAACTCCTTGGATCTGACCCTGATCCTGATCATCGCGCTGGGCTCGGTGTCCTTCGTGTTCCTCCTGGCCATGATCGTGCTGGCCATCCGGTGCCAGAAGGACAAGAAGCTGAACCTGTACGGCTGCCTGGCCGGGGAGTGCTGCTCCTGCTGCAGACAGGCCAGGAACAGGAAGAAGAAGCTCAGCAAGTCGGACATCATGTTGGTCCAGACCAACAACTCCAACGCGGCGCAGGTCTCCACGGACGAAGGGGCCTTCGGACACCACAGTCAGAATTACTGCTACCAAGTGTGTCTGACCCCGGAGTCGGCCAAAACCGACCTCATGTTCTTGAAGCCGTGCAGCCCGGCCAGGAGCACGGACACCGACCACAACCCCTGCGGGGCTCTCGTCACGGGGTACACTGACCAGCAGCCGGACATCATTTCCAATGGGAGTATATTATCAAACGAGGTAAAGACGAAACAAAAACCAAACCAAACCCAAAAAAAAACTAGTCTAAGTCTGGATTTGTACGATCAAGAACGATCACCCCCTCACCTCACCACCCTCACCTCACCTCACCACCCTCACCCCACCACCCTCACCTCACCTCACCACCCTCACCCCACCACCCTCACCTCACCACCACTACCACCACCTCATCCTTCTTGTTCTGTCTATCCCTCTCACTGTCTCTCTCACTGTCTCCTCTCACTATCCCTCTCACTATCTCCTCTTACTATCCCTCTCACTATCCCTCTCACTATCTCCTCTTACTATCCCTCTTACTACTATCCCTCTCACTATCTCCTCTCACTATCCCCTCTCACTGTCCTCTCACTATCTCCTCTCACTATCCCTCTCACTATCCCTCTCACTATCTCCTCTCACTATCCCTCTCACTGTCTCTCTCACTATCTCCTCTTACTATCCCTCTCACTGTCTCTCCACTATCCCTCACTGTCTCTCTCACTATCTCCTCTTACTATCCCTCTCACTATCTCCTTTCACTATCCCGCTCACTGTCTCTCTCACTATCTCCTCTCACTATCCCTCTCACTGTCCCTCTCACTACCTCCTCTCACTATCCCTCTCACTATCTCCTCTCACTATCCCTCTCACTATCTCCTCTCACTATCCCTCTCACTATCCCTCTCACTGTCCCTCTCACTATCCCTCTCACTGTCCCCTCTCACTATCTCCTCTTACTATCCCTCTCACTATCCCTCTCACTATCTCCTCTCACTATCCCTCTCACTATCTCCTCTCACTATCCCTCTCACTGTCCCTCTCACTGTCCCTCTCACTATCTCCTCTCACTATCTCCTCTCACTATCCCTCTCACTATCCCTCTCACTATCTCCTCTCACTATCTCCTCTCACTATCTCCTCTCACTATCTCCTCTCACTATCCCTCTCACTATCTCCTCTCACTATCCCTCTCACTATCTCCTCTCGCTATTTTGCAATCCGTTTCAGATCAGTTGCAGTTGTGGTACCTACGGGTGTGTGTGTGTTTCCGTTTAGAGGAAGGACGGGTGCAGTGATGTGAAATGTCACTCTCAATGCACACACGTCGCACCGACTGACTCCTGCTATTTTGTTTAAGTGACCTGTGACTTGCGGCACAGATTAAACTGCAATGCAATATATCTCTTGCTATTCATATAGGGGGGAGGCTTAACACTTTCACATCCGAATATCCGGCAGAAAAGCGACTCGATGCGTGTTATTGCCCATTAACCACCTCGGTGCCGGCACTAACGCACATCCCGAAGAGCCTTCCGCAATGTTTAATCCTTTGAAACTGCGTGTATGGGCTGCACGCACAGTACGCAAAGAGAGGCGACTGCTTAAAGCCTCTGTAATATTCAATAACCGCATTCTCAGAGAGGGAAAGTTAAAGACCACGACATTGTTTGACCCCCGCAAGGGCTGCCCTGGGTTTTAGAAAGGTGTTCATCGGATGTGATCCCTCGCCATCTGGAGCTTTGAACTGTCCTCCCAGTTCCCCATCACCGTACACAGCCATTACGGGGTCCCCAGTGCCATATTAGTAATGGCAATTGCACTTCTCAGTCTCGATGACAATTTCAAATAAAACCTCCGACACGCGTTAGTTAGTTAGTTAGTTAGTTAGTTAGTCAGTCAGTCCCATCTCATGTTAACTCTTCCCATCTGTGCCTGTGGTGCGGGCACTTTATACTGTTTGCTCGTTTTAACGCCTGTTGGTTGACATTATATAATGACTTATTAAAGACCCCCCTCCCGTCTCTTTTTCCCCCTCCCCCCCTCTCCCCCTCTCCCCCCCTCCCCAGGCAAAACACCAGCGAACCGAGCTCAGCTATCTGGTCGACAGACCCCGTCGAGTTAACAGGTAAACGCAACACACGTGCAAACGGGAGACATCTCTCGCCCGGACCTCTCTCCTCGACGGGGCAAATTGCAACCCATTTTTTTTTAAAAAAAAAGAAAAATAATATGAAAAAAAATTTTTTTAAAGGAAAAAATATTTTTTTTTCAATTTTTTTAAAAAATCTCTGATTTGCGTCTCGTGTCTCCCCACCCCCCACCCCCCCCCCCAAAAAAAAAAACAAAACAAAAAAAAAAAAACTGCCGATGCTTTCTTTCCAGTTCTGCTTTCCAGGAAGCGGACATAGTGAGCTCCAAGGACAGTGGCCACGGCGACAGCGAACAGGGGGACAGCGACCACGACGCCACCAACAGAGCTCACTCCACGGGTAAGTGTGTGCCGTGCAACAGAAGTTTTCCAAATGCTATTGGCGGTGATGGTGGTGGTGGTGGTGGTGTGCGTGCGCGTGTTTTTTTTTTTGTTTGTTTTTTTTTGTTTCTTTTTCTTTTTGCGTATTGTATTATATTCCACGCGGCGCCGAGTGAGCGCTGCTGTGTGGTACCCACTCTGAGCTCCGGATGCGCGACTGTCAGGTGCATCGCAGAAACACGCGAGTTGGAGGAAGAAGAAGAAGAAGAAGAAGAAGAAGGGGGTGTGGGGGAGAGGGGGGGGGGAGAGGGAGGGAGGGGGGGAGGGAGGAAAAAAAACCCCACACGCGTCGTACAGTTTGCCACGAGTTTCTTTTTTACGGGACCGAATCGAAGCCATCGGTTTAAAACGTGTTGTGTGAGAGACACTCCGGGCGATCGTACGGTATCTCAGTCAATTCATCAGTTGGCGAGTTTTTTTTTTTGTCAGGTGGAGTCTCAGAGATAATATATATATATATATATATATATGTGTGTGTGTGTGGGGGTGTGTGCGTGTGTGTATATAATCTCAGTACAGTTTGTTCGTGTGTTAACGTTGAATCTTCATTTGAAATCCCAGTCCATTCTGGTTTTGTTATATATATATATATATAATATAAAGTCAGAGCTCCTGACTTTGAAATAGTTGTATGGTTCGCGTTGTTGAGCTGGACTTTGCAAAGGGCATTGCTGTTATCTCGGTATTCTGGTCAGTCAGTCAGTCAGTTGAAATCCCTGCTTCTTGTTAATATCATTAAACGGATTAAACGCCAAACTGTCCCACAAGAAACGTCTCGCAGTTCAATCCCACTCCTTTCCTCCCCTGTGGGTCGCATTGAGCCATTCCGACCTGTGCTCATTATGGAAAACATGTTTGGTACAAACGGCTATTCAATAGCTTCCTTTATTTCTCTCTCTCTCTCTCTCCTTCTCTCCTTCTCTCTCTCTCTCTCTCTCTCTCTGCCCTCAATGCATATGCGATCTTAATGAGATCTCCGGACATGCATCCGTGTCCATCAGTCCCCCGTTTGCTGGTCGGGCGTCAAGGAATTTGGTCACAGGCGGTGGTGGAGGGTCAGTTTCAGGCAATCCACAGCACACACAGCACTTTGCTGGATGCCCTCTCCCACTTGCAGCTCACGCCAGTGGGATTGAAGTGCCCGTCGCTCCCGAAGCAATCGTTTTGCAAATCTGCTACCCTTTTTTTTGTGTGTGTGTGTGGGTTGCGTTTAACGAAACGACTAAGGGGGGGAGGGGGGGGGGGGGTGGCTTTACTATTGGAATTGCCTGTTTTCTGTGGTACTTCTCTGCTTCAAAATGGAGGTTTATTAAATACGTTCGGATCACAGAAGATGGCAGTAATGTAAAACTAAACTGCCTCCTGGGTTCCAAGTCAGGGACATGTTACACGGGTAGAATTAGGAAAGCAAACTTCTGAAATGTTTTGTGCACTGTGTTGATGAGGAGTGAACACGTTCTGTGGAATTGGTAACTATTATATCGATATGCAATATATCTGTTTGCAAATGCAGGACTGCAATAACTAAGGGAATACTGTATATACGAAGCGGAATTTTATTAAGCTTTGGTGAATGAAATATCTGCCAAATGTTTGAAATTGCTTTTTTTCCGCCCCCCCCCAAAAAAAACAAGGAGCAAACTTGCTTGGCGCTAGGTTTTTGACACAGACTGAATGAACCGATCCTGGTGTGGTCTGAACATCAACATCCCGTCAGGAGTTGTCATGTTATTCTGGACGTCAGTTTGCGATGTTGGGTATTATTCAAACAGCGTTAAGGAAACGATTTACCTGTTTGTTCGGCGTCACGTTATTCAGGGAAAACATTGCAGCCGAAGCTCTTTATAATCCTCAATCTGACTTAATCTTAAGGGTTTGACTGTGTTAGTTCTGCAAATCAAATGGGTCCTGTGTTTTGCACCCTCTTTAAAGGGACAATTCACGCTGATTCCTAACACCTAATATCTCACCAATATAATCGTATGTGTCTTCAGCGACGCTGCCTATTTGATGCAGTGTAACTCTGTGTACTTTACAGTCCGTGTGTGTGTGTGTGTGTGTGTGTGTGGCACAACATGATCTGCTACGTTGGCTGCAGTCGGGAAGAGCACTAAACAGCACTTGCAGTTTCTAGACTTTGGTTTGAATGCTGTTCTGCTCCAAGAGATGACCATCTCCTCTCTCTCTCTCTCCCTCTCTCTCTCCCTCGCTCCCCCTCTCTCTGAAGGACGTAGCCGTCCGTTTTACCTGCAAACGATGTTGAGATCTAGGGCTGTAACGTGGGATCAGTTTGCAGAAATGCTCGGGCAAGAGGGCTGCAAGTGCTTCCCAGTTAGATTGGGTGTGCTCAGCATACACTTTCGTGAGTGATGCAGTGAAACCGTCCCCAGAGGTAGTAGATCTGTGTTACACTCGCCTCTTGGTTCAGGTACACAATGCTGTGTGTCAGCAATTAGCTGGTGGGGTCGTTTGCAGAACCACTCTGACCTCCAAAAGCAATGCATAACCAGGATAACAGTCACGCATATTTGGGTGCTCTCACGTCAGTTCCTCAGTATACTATTGGAACTTCTTATACTTTAGCACTTAATTCACAGTGCTACATGCGAAAGTTTAAGATGGGTGAGATAGTTGAGAAACGTGCCACGTTAATGTAGTTGAATTTTCTTTAAGTTTAGGGCATCACATAGTGCAAGAGTACATTGGCGGGGTAAAACAGAAGAGCCTTTAGTTAGTATCTTCCTTCTTAGCATACTGTAGCTGATATGTGAGTGCTCTCATAACAATGCTTGCATTTGATATGATGCTTTATCACGTTGTCCAGATATCACAAAGGATTTTGCTGTCAAAGGTGATGATTGTATGTTTTTAGGCAAATGAGGCAGCTAATTTGTACACAGCAATGTCGCACCAATAATAATCCTTGCATTTGATATAGCGCTTTTCACGTCTTCTAGACATCTCAAAGAGCTTCACAGAATATGCTGTAAAGTGAATTGACTGCGTATTTGTGGGCGAAACGCGGCAGCCAATTGCGCACAGCAGTGTCCCACAAACAGTCGTGGATTGAAGTGATCATTTTATTATTATTTTTGTTTCTTGAGGGATTATTATTAGGCGCGTGGAGTAAGGAAACTTGCCCAAGGTTTCACCCTGCTGGGAATCGAACCCAGGTCTCTCGCCTGCGAGGCGAGTGCTCTAACCACTGAGCTACAGGACTCCACAATAGCCACAAAACCATTGGTCAACTTTATTGTTCTAATAGGAGGTGACAGAAATTGAAAAATAGTTCATTTTATCAGCACTGTGGCCCTTCAGGTAATGGTAAAAAATGTCCAGTTGTGTCAGTCTGTCTCCTTGACCAGTATATCAGCATTGTCTACACTCCCAGCAATATTGTGGCTGAAATCCGCTAAATGAGGTTCTTGAATTACCGTTAGGTTTGCAGCATTTTGGAAAGACACTGTGTGCAGTACTCAAAATCTTGATTAACCCTTTCTTATCAGTTTCCAGTCCTAATTACGGAGCTCATAAGGAATAAGAAAACGTGCAAAAATTCTTTAGCAAGCAGCTGTTGCACATCTCCTTGAAAATAAATGGACAGTCTGTTATGCAGAGACCATTCTCCCATCTTGTTGTCCCAGAAGGCACATGACCTAGACCAGGCCAAGTGGAGGAGAAAATAGAGGGAATAATATCATGCACATTTAGGAGAATTGTCTAACAGAATAACTCGGTAACTTTAAAGAACTGACTTATTACGATTTATTTACATTAAGATAAATTATGAACAAATGAAACTTATTATGTTTTTTCCCATTTTGCTTCAGATGCCAATTTGTGACTTGCTATGTGAGCTTCCAGGCAGTGAAAGCCATTTATTCTGCTTATTTCCCTTTAAATGCAATTTCCCAATGATCTATTTACAGTTCTCCCCAAAAATATTCAAATTATTGTAATCATTGCTATCAAAGGTTTTTTTAAAAAAATATATATATTTTAATTACACACAGAGGCTACAGGGAGAGGATTAATGGATGCCATTTGACTGAGCTGATATTCATGAGTGAGTTGCAGACAACAGCACCAATCAGAATATTCCGATGCTTTATTGGCATGTACAGTATTCTATTATTATTGCACTACACATTACGGAAGCAGTTATAATGGTTAAAAAAAGAAATTAATTAATGAATGGGTTATAGAGTGGAACTCGTGGCTTCACCATATATAGAAAAATACAAGGATTATTACACAAATCTTTCTCCCACCTCTCCACCAACTTGAGATATTGTCAAACGGCGGTAGGAACAGTCACAGAGCGAATGTCACCATATGTGGTGCAATGTAGAAGAGACACGTTGAGAAAATGCTAGGGCAAGCTGGACATGGGCGATTTGAAGTTATTTATTATTTATTTAAACTGAATATTTAGGGATCAGCGTTAAGATCATTGCAGTAAATAGATCGCGGGGTCACGCAGATCGCCTGGCTTGCTGCAGTCTTCAGAAGTCTTCACGATCTCTTGGATATGGTGGATGTATACAGAGAGAAGTAGGTTACGGGCAAATCCAGAAAAAAGAAACACACACAAAGTCCTTTATCAGTTATTTCAATGCATTGGCGAACACAAGTCACTGACGTTTCACAAAAGGGATACTGTCAAGATGTTCAACCAGCTTTGAACTTTTATGAAAGAACTAAAAAAAAACAGGGAGATAGTGTGAAATCTCCAGATGTCCTTTGGCAGTCGAGGGAGCAAGACTTTGAGATGGAGACATCAGATAGGAAAAATGACCCAAGGCATGGATTAAGCACACAGGGACAGAAAGTGGCCACATATAACAGTGGCAAACGTCAAACGTGACCATTAGAACATTCCTGAATTCTTTCGGGTTTTGTTCAAATGCTGGAAATTTTTAAATGCACAGATGGCGAATACTGAGTGGGTTGTGAAAC